ACGGATCACAGCTCAGGAATGTGCTTCAGAGGAGGAGGAAGAGAGAGTGAGGACGTTGCCTTCGTCAGAGATTAAGGAGATTTGTACAGTGTGGACAAAGGTGCAAGCATTTATGGATGAAAATTTTCCTGACACAGCTGTTGTAAGCCATATTGGCAACATGTACAATGACACTCTTTGTGTTCCATTTTAGGGAAATCTTAAAGAGATGCCAAAAACAGAGCTCTCTGGACAGATATTTTGTGCGCCAAAAACAGAGCTCTCTGGACAGATATTTTGTGCGACAGGGGTCCAGTGACTCTCAAGCTGGTCCTAGTGGCATTAAAAAACCAAGAAGGGAGGTAACCCCAGGAAAGGACTTGTTACCTGAAGTCTTTATGGAAGGGGATTACCCTTCCAAACAATAGTACATGTACATCCTCTCCCCTCCTCCTGTCTCATCACTCATCAATAAGTCCACAATAAAGGTAAGTGTCATTTCAGTATTGTTTATTGTGCATGTCTCATTGTTTTCTGTGTAGGAAAATGTATATTTCATGTAAAAAAAAATATTTTGTTCAATACTTTTGGGTGTCTGGAACGGATTAATTGGATTTCCATTATTTCTTATGGAGAAAATGAATTCAGCTAACGTCCAAATCGGTTAAAGGCGAGGGTCCACTGTATACGTTTGGACCGTTTATGGGTTAATAAGAGGTAAAGTGCCTTCATAAAGTAACATCACCAACATAATTATTTGGTGAAGCCTTAGCAGGACATTATGCAAGAGATCTCAGCATATGTGAATAGCAAATATACTTTATAATACCCTGGTACTAGGGTAAATTTAGCATGCATAAAATAAAATGGTAAGTAAGACACATAGGCAACAGTTAGGCATCTTTATTCTGAAATGTTTTGCCTACATAGTAGGCTTCTTCGGTTGAGTACAGAAAGTAGGCAGGAGCAGTAGAGATGTGAGGACGATGTAACCAGTCCATCACCCTTGAAGACGTAGATTTGAGGTTTTCATTCTCTCAGCCTGGAGAAGAGTTATGTTCCATAGTCTGAAACAATGTGAAGATCAAGTGACAGTGTGGAGTCTTACATACTGCCGGAAAGAGAGGTGTAGAGTAGCAGAAGAAAGAATGTAATCACTGAGTTCATATCCCTCTCAGATCCGACCATTCTCAGTTGAAAAGGTTGTCCAAGGTATTTTCTCTTCTGTACCAAGATGCCATTCTGTTGCAGTGTTTGACAGAATGAATATCAAAATGGCATCTTGGTACTATACATACCTATTATAAAGTTTGATAAATCATGCAAAATAAGTGGAGAATTATCACTTTTTCACTGATGGGAAGGACTTCACGGTTTCTCTTAGGCTTGGAAGAACTGCCAGCTTTTCTACTTTTGTGTTTTGGGGCCATTATTATGCAGAATTAAGAGGTATTTTTGGGCCACAGTAAACCATGGATAACTGAAACTGCAGATACCAAATAGGTGGATACAGGGGTTCTGCTGTATATAATGCTACATTTATTTCATGTTTGGTACACTTTCTTGATTGTGGTATTTAAAAAATACACCTACCATCCGACTTACGACTGAGTTTGGTTCCGAGAAACCGGTCGTAAGTCGAAATGGTCGTAAGTCGAACTTTACTACTGAATATCAACAAAACATTTTTGTAATGACTTAATTTTATTTTGGTATTTCATGTTTTACTTTACTTTTTATGCTGTTAGTACTGTATTTTATACTGTAAGGTTTAGGATCAACACTGTGTACAACACAAATACTGTAGTTGTTTATTTCCCAGAAATTTGGCATAAAAAACACGGTCGTAAGTCGAACAGGTTGTAAGTCGGATGGTAGGTGTAGTTACTTTTTTATTATTTAAATAATGTCTGACTAGATAATACAGTGGACCCCCGGCATTCGATAAATCCGGTATTCGATGCATTTTATCGCAAAAATTTTGCCTCAGTATTCGATTGAAAACCCGGTACTCGATGCGATTCGTACGAGACGTGTCCACGTGTGGCCTGAACTGCCCTGTGTGTGCCAGTGTTTACAAGCCAGCCAGTGTGCGTGCATCTAAGGATACATTCAGTACATTCCACATAATCACTGTTTTTGGGGCTTGTTTCTGCAAAATAAGTCACCATGGGCCCCAAGAAAGCTTCTAGTGCCAACCTTTCGAGAAAAAAGGTGCTAATGACTATTGAAATGAAGAAAGAGATAATTGCAAAGTATGAAAGTGGAGTGCATGTGTCGGAGCTGGTCAGGTTGTATAGTAAACCCCAATCAACCATCTCTACTATAGTGACCAGGAAAACGGCAATCAAGGAAGCTGTTCTTGCAAAAGGTGCAACTGTGATTACGAAACAGCGACCGCAAGTGTTAGAAAATGTTGAGAGACTGTTATTGGTGTGGATAAATGAAAAACAGATAGCAGGAGATAGCATCTCTCAAGCGATCATTTGTGAAAAGGCTAGGCAGTTGCATGACGATTTGGTAAAGAAATTGCCTGCAACTAGTGCTGATGTGAGTGAATTTAAGGCCAGCAAAGGTTGGTTTGAAAGATTTAAGAATCGTAGTGGCATACATAGTGTGATTAGGCATGGTGAGGCTGCCAGTTCGGACCAAAAAGCAGCTGAAAAATATGTGAGGGAATTCAAGGATTACACAGACAGTGAAAAATTTAAACCTGAACAAGTGTTTAATTGAGAGGAAACAGGCCTGTTTTGGAAGAAATTGCCAAGCACGACCTACATTACTCAGGAGGAAAAGGCACTCCCAGGACATAAGCCTATGAAAGACAGGCTTACTCTGTTGATGTGTGCCAATGCTAGTGGTGATTGCAAAGTGAAGCCTTCATTGGTGTATCACTCTGAAACTCCCAGTGTGTTCAGGAAAAACAATGTCCTCAAGGCTAATTTGTGTGTGCTGTGGAGGGCAAACAGTAAGGCATGGGTCACTAGGGACTTTTTCTATGACTGGTTACACCATGCATTTGCCCCCACTGTGAAAAATTACCTAATTGAAAAGAAATTAGACCTTAAGTGCCTCCTGGTATTAGACAATGCCCCTGGTCATCCTACAGACTTGGCAGATCAACTTTCTGGGGACATGAGCTTCATTAAGGTCAAGTTTTTGCCTCCTAATACCACTCCTTTCCTGCAGCCCATGGACCAGCAGGTCATTTCCAACTTCAAGAAACTGTACACAAAGGCTATGTTTCAAAAGTGCTTTGTAGTGACCACAGAAACTCAACTGACTCTAAAAGAGTTTTGGAAGGATCACTTTAATATCCTCAATTGTATAAACCTTATAGGTATTGCTTGGGAGGGAGTGACTAAGAGGACCTTGAACTCTGCCTGGAAAAAACTGTGGCCAGAATGTGTAGACAAAAGGGATTAAAGTGCAAACCTTTTTTGATGACAATCACCCTAACACAGCTATTACAAGCTGTGCTGGTGACTATAACACTGACAATGTTGTGAAACACTTTAGGAATGTCATAAAGGAACGGGAGGTACAGGCCACTATGGACAGATATGTTGTGTGACAGAAGTCCAGTGACTTTCAAGCTGGTCCTAGTGGCATTAAAAGAAGAAGGGAAGTAACCCCGGAAAAAGGACTTGCTACCTCAAGTCCTATTGGAAGGGGATTCCCCTTCTAAACACTAACACCATCCACGCTCTCCCCTCCTCCCATCCCATCAATCATCACCAGAACTTCATTAAGGTGTCAATTATTCTGTTGTTATTGTAATTATTCTATTGTATTAAACTTGATATTTCATGTGGTAAAATTTTTTTTTTTCATACTTTTGGGTGTCTTGCACGGATTAATTTGATTTCCATTATTTCTTATGAGGAAAATTGATTCGCTTTTCGATATTTTCAGTATTCGATGAGCTCTCAGGAACGGATTAATATTGAATACCGGGGGTCCACTGTAATTATAATTTTCTTTTTATTAAGTGTGCATAAACAGCATATCATACTCTGTTGCTTTATACTTACCATAGTTTGGTATGCTAGTGAGTATGCATTCTTTCAGAGTGACGGGATGACATATTATATCAGCGTTAAGAATTCCCTTGAAGATTTGCTTTATTAAATTTTTCAGATTATAGTACACTGGTACCTTGGTTTACGAGTGCCCCAACTTACGAGTTTTCCGAGTTACGAGCTGTCGCTCGGTCAATTTTTTGCTTTGAGTTGCAAGCCAAAATCCAAGTTACAAGCGAGCTTCAGATACTCCGTCACTAATTGCCAGCTTATCTGAAGTCAAATCCAGCTCTGTACCCAGAGGAATGTCAGGTACTTTGCCCCATCCCACATGCTCTTCCAAGACATAACTGGAAGGATAATATACTCCCACACTAATCCCAGATTGTAGTGAGGCACCTCGTCCCTTGTTTGGTTCTCATATAAATCCAGGGAAGAGGTAAATTCCATTTCAACACTCAGAGTTTCTCCAGAAACATTAAGGCCTCCATGATATTTGTCTGCCTCATGGATGTTCCTTCAGTGGGTGGAGTAGTGATAGTGGTGGGTGGAGTAGTGAGGGTGGTGGATGGAGTAGTGATAATGGTGGATGGAGAAGTTATGGTGGTGGGTGGATGGAGTAGTGATAATGGTGAATGGAGTGGATATGTTGGTGGGTGGAGTAGTGAAGGTGGTTCTAATTTAAAAACCCGTGGGGTGGTTTTTTTGGGGCTGGAATGGATTAACAGCATTTCAATTAATTTCAGTGAGAAAATTGATTTGATATATGAGCAAATTGAGTTACAAGCTCGGTCACAGAACAAATTAAACTTGTAAGTCAAGGTACCACTGTATGTAGGTTTAGATATGGTATATCAAGGCAAGATTGCTGAAAGTTGTACAAGTGTTCCTTTTCCCAGATAGCCTCTTATTTTTGCTTGCATATTTAAATTTTATTGCTAATTGGCTTGTAAATACAGCATTTGCATTCATTTATTTTAATTACTGCTCTTTCCTCAGGGTCTCAAGTATTGCCGTACATTCTGCCAGGTTTGTTTCTTCCCTCGCCTTCATCAGTTCATTATGAATCAGGACTGGAATGACCCCAAAAGCAAGTTACAACAGTGTTGTTTGACTCTTCGTACCATGGATGGTGGCGAGCCCGACATTCCCATTTATAAGTGAGTTATCCACGCTTCTTTTGTTATTAAATAAATCATATTACTTTATTTGGCCATGAAAATATGTTAGAACTGGTAAGACCAGATTTTGTTAACCAAAACACATTAGTGCACATCATGGAAAGTGGCCACTTTTTTTGTTGCACTGGTATGTTTAGGCCACTTTTTTTGTTGCACTGGTATGTTTAGTCATACATACAAAGGGCAGTTAACCTTTTTGTATTTCATGTCCCATTCAGGCCTCAAATCAAGTGTGACTTTGTAAGGTTCTAGAGCAAAGTTGAGGCACGTGAAATTTTTGACATTGCCTCTAACCTATAGAGAAACTCTTCATTATCCTCAAGTACCCAGTCAGATAGCCCTAACTCTTTCCAAGTACAGGTCCGCCATCACAAATCCGGCATCATTGGGCCCTGTAGTGTGCCAGATTACCGAGTTTCCCAGATTACAGAGTGGTTAGGTTAGAATACACTTAATAAAGTTGACCAACTTACACAAGAAAGTTCATTGAACATCGGCAAAAATCGAACATTTCCGCTACTTTGAGCTCAATTTCAAGGTACTTTTTGTTGTGAAACCAATCAAATTTGTATCTATTTCTGTAGTATATCTTCCATTCTGTCAAATGAGACCAAAAAACAAGAATACAATCATAAAAACCTTTATGAAAATACGTATACTGTACAACTAAGAGGCGGCTAATGGCTGAGAAGTAAACTCCGTTATTTATGGTCTGATTTTTTCATTTTTGGTGTACGTTAAGAAGCATCTTTCCATCATACATTGCCCAAGTTTCAATAAGATAGCCCAACAAACAACTGAGAAAAAAATATTTACCAAAAATCATATATGGCGAGCCCAAGCCAGGTACTGGGAATAAGTCACTTTGTCCGACTTTTTTGGGGTTATCCTCGGTTCTCTATACATACACTGCTATGTATGATACTCTCTGTAACTGTATTTGTGTATACCTGAATAAACTTAATTACAGTGGACCCCCGGTTAACGATATTTTTTCACTCCAGAAGTATGTTCAGGTGCCAGTACTGACTGAATTTGTTCCCATAAGGAATATTGTGAAGTAGATTAGTCCATTTCAGACCCCCAAAAATACACGTACAAACGCACTTACATAAATACACTTACATAATTGGTCGCATTCGGAGGTGATCGTTATGCGGGGGTCCACTGTATTTCTATTCTCTCGACTCAGTACGTACAAGAAACTGCCTCTTCGCTTATATCAACTACCCAGTAAAGTGGTCAGAAATTGGAAGTTTGGCCTATTTGACACAAATTTCAAAAGATGCCAGTTTCAAAATAGGGTCCAGAATAAACAATGCAGACATTCCTGGCACTCAAATAACATTTTCTCTGTTCATTAGTCACAGCTCCAGGCCCCTCTTATACAGTGGACCCCCACCTTACGATATTAATCTGTTCCTGAGAGCTCATCGTGAGCCGAAATTATTGTAAGGCGAATTAATTTTCCTCATGAGAAATGGAAATCAAATTAATCCGTGCAAGACACCCAAAAGTCTGAAAAAAAAATTTTACCACATGAAATATTAATTTTAATACACACAAACTTAAGACATGCACAATTAATACTCTACTAAGAATAGAATACATGACACTTACCTTTATTGAAGATCTGGTGATGACTGATGGGATGGGAGGAGGGGAGTGTGGAAGTTGTTATTGTTTAGAAGGGGAATCCCCTTCCATTAGGACTTGAGGTATCAAGTCCTTTTCTGGGGTTACTTCCCTTCTTCTTTTATTGCCACTAAGACCAGCTTGAGAGTCACTGGACCTCTGTCGCACAACATATCTGTCCATAGAGCTCTGTACCTCCCGTTCCTTTAAGATTTGTCTAAAATGGGCCATAACATTGTCATTGTAATAGTCACCAGCACGGCTTGCAATAGCTGTGTTAGGGTGATTTTCATCCATAAAGGTTTGCACTTCAACCCACTTTGCACACATTTCCTTAATCTTTGAAGTAGGCACAATGGATTCCACAACTAGCATAGGCTTCTCAGGGTTAGCCCCAAACCCTTTAAAATCTTTCTTAATTTCCATACTAATTTTCACCCTTTTTACCACAGGGTTGGCACTAGAAGCTTTCTTGGGGCCCATGGTGACTTATTTTGCAGTTACAAGCACAAAAAAACACTGGGATAAGGTGAAATGTACCGAATGTATGCGTGGATGCGACCGCACTGGCTGGCCTGTAAACACTGGTGCTGAGGCCACACGTGGGACACGTCCCGACGAATCGCGTGAGGCGAGGCAAAATTTTTGCGTTCAAATGTATGGTATGGCGGATTTAACGTAACACGATGCCATCATAAGGCGGGGGTCCACTGTATTTCTCTTGTTTACCATTTGGAATTTTTATTCACACAAAAAATAGAAGAGTTACTGTTATGTAGACTATTGAATTATTGTAATAATTGTATAAATAATGTCAATCTATTCGTGACTGCATATTGGAATTTAGACTGGCAGGTGAACACGTAATAGGCAGTGACATCATTTGTTTACTCTTGAACATCGCCAAAGAATTGAACATTTCTGCCACTTTGAACTCAATTTCAAGGTACTTTTCGTCGTGAAAGCAATCAAAATCATATCTGTTTCTGTAATATATCTTCCATTCAATCAAATGAGACCAAAAAAAAATGAGAATACAACCATAAAAACCATATGAAAATATACCACTAAGGGCGGCTAATGGCTGAGAAGTGAACTCTCTTAATTATCGTCCGTCTTTTTTATTTTTGTTGTACATTAAGAAGCATCTTTCCATCATACATTGCCCATGTTTCAATAAGATTGCCGAACAAACAACTGAGAAAATAATTATTTACCAAAAATCATATATGGCAAGCCCAAGCTAGGTACGGCATTCCGCTAATATGGACATTTCAGATTATGACCAAAACTTGCTATACGGCTCCCCCCTCCCCGACTTCTAATACGGTCACCGCACCCCACCCGGTTTGTTTACATTCTCCATGAGCTCTGTAAGCACTACGGCTCTCCAATATGGAAACTCTCAAATTTCAAGTGTTTTTAAAAGTTATTTCATATTTTATATATACTCTGATAATTATACATATGTATACCTATACCTAAATAAACTTACACACTGTGCTGGCATGCAGGTACACATTAAAATCAGTAAGAGTGCCTTATGTCTCGAGACGCCACATTAGTAATGATCATAATAATAATAATCACTGAGTCTCGTTAAATGTCATATATTATGTTAATATACACATTTTCATTAATCCATCTATGATATTTTTTCAAAATTATATAATAAACACGATACATAACATATAATGATGATAAATACACCCCACAGTAGAATAAATAAACATAAATGTGAGATGTGGTAGCCAGATGACTTGTACGAGTGACGCCATATTAGTAACGATAATACTCAATAATAATCACCGAGTCTCATTAAATGTCGTATATTACGTTAATATACACATTTTCATTAATCCAGCTATATTTTTTTTCAAAATTATAAACGCAATACATAACATATAAAGATGATAAATAAACCCTACAGTAGAATAAATAACATAAATATTTGATGTGGTAGCCAGACAACTTGTATGAGTGACGGCAAGAATAACATTTTCTCTAGTCCACCATAAGAGAAAATGTGTTAGTGGGGGTAACTGTAGACAATTATTCCTTTCGTATTCCTTCACTCAGAGCATTATTTCTTCTAAAAATGGTGTTATATGGGAATGGGAGTGTTCCTCTTTATTTATTCTACTGTATCAATGTAGAGAGAACTTGTACACAATGTAACATGTACACAAACCAGACGTGTTTGCCTGGTTTGTTTGCAAAACTGGCATTCCCCCTGGTTTGATTACATAACTCTGTGTGTCCTTTCTCATGTACTCATTTCTCTCTCTCTCTCTCATTTACTCGTTTTATCTCGTTTACTCACTTCTGACCCTACATTAAGACTGCAATTTTTTTTTTATTATTATTATCACACTGGCCGATTCCCACCAAGGCAGGGTGGCCCAAAAAAGAAAAACTTTCACCATCATTCACTCCATCACTGTCTTGCCAGAAGGGTGCTTTACACTACAGTTTTTAAACTGCAACATTAACAAATGTTTTATGGTAAGTAATTAGTGAACTGTATATGCATTTTATCGCTCTGGGACACTTAAATGTCATAGAATGTTATGTGTGGGTGGAATGGCCTGGTATGGTAGCCTGGCTGGCTATCATACATACCACACCTGATTTCTTACAATAAATACTACTCATCTCACCCTAGATTAAGACTACAAATATTTTAAAGTAAGTAATGAGTGTACTATATATGTATTTTACTTTTTTATTGCTTTTTTAATGCCTAGTTCTAATGCTAACTTAATATATATTAGTGTAAACTTGTTATCTAGTATTTATATACATTTATAAGTGAAAAAAAGGTGTTCCATTTTAAGGCGATTTCCGCTTTACAGCGGTAGCCTGGAACCTAACCTGCTGTATAAGTGGGGCCCTACTTTACCAGAAATAAGAAATAGGTTCTCTACACATATGCTGCTATGTATGATAATCTATATAGAGAAAATAGATTTTTTCTTTCAGTTTTATGGTGCACTACAAGTGTATATCACAGCCCTGTGCTATACTCCATTTTCTCTAAAATAAGCCCCCAAGACAGGGATAGGAGAATGGTACTTGTATCCCATATCCTCTTCATACCTCCATCGAACTGTCCGGTATTATGCCAGATACTATTCATTCTGGAGTATTTAACATGATTTTATGTCATTTATATTGTCATATTACATCAATTGTGATAGGCCGTAGTGTTGATATTAGCGTAGTAATAAAGCATATTCCCCTGCATCACAAGACTGAGCTCATGGCAACTGACAGTGGCTTCAAAGCCACCTTTTATGGACAATGTACTGTGTATGTGCTTTACACAACAAGAAGCATTTCTTTTATTCATTGGAACCATGGCTAGGGCTAAAAGCAATAAATGGAGAAAAAGAAATTGGAATGACTTATGCAAGCAAGTAGCACCACTAAACAGTACCAGCAGGTTGGTGTGACGACCCTGGAAATTTGAAATTATCCTAGCTGAAATTAGTGCCGAATAACTGACCGAACCGGGTTTGTGATGGCAGACCTATAGTGTGAGGAGTTGAGATGTGAATTTCTAGTGTGTTTCTCACTCGCAATTGCTTGTAAGTAGGAATAATGACTGGACCAACTAAAAAATTTGTAAAAAAACATCACAGATATGGCAAGTCACTAGAGTAAAAAAGTCTTAGAATGATTGAAACTATAACATACATGTACTAAAAGCACATTCAAGTCCCTCCAATATTTCAGTGACCAAATGCTGTAAGGTTAATAGTGCTTCCCCAAAAGGAACTTCCCTCCAAGAGCATAACTAAAACAAAAAGCCTCTAGCCACTTCTCTGTGCTATCATGGAATCTTTTATAGTACATACAACAGTTTTCTTAAAAATTGGCTAGGGATAAGGGATGACCAGCATATCGCTTTTTGTCATAAGCATAAACCAGCATTGTTTATGGCTACATGTTGGTGTCTATTATTGAGGTATAGTTTGATAAAGTTCTCCATGGGGAAGTGGATCAGAATTCTTCCTCCATAAGCGACTAAAATGCCGGGAGCAGGGCATTACTAAATTTAAAAGGAGAAACTTTTGTTTTTCCTTTTGGGGCACCCTGCCTCAGTGGGATATGGCCAGTTTGTTGAAAGAAGAAAGTTTGATAAAGAACAGTGGACCCCCAGATTACGTCGTCGTCGGATTTCATAATATTCAGACTGAGTAACATTTTTTTTTTGTCAAAATATTGGCTCGGTGATCGTCACTGAATTCAGTAATAGTCATTTGTCCAGAATGCGTCCACATGGCAACATTATTATTATTATAATCAAAAAGAAGCGCTAAGCCACAAGGGCTATACAGCGCGAACCACATGGCAACAGCAACCTGACAGTGTGCCATTATTCATCAGCCAGTGAGCACGATCCCATGCACTCGTACGATACATTTCATATTCCATTTTTTTTAGTGTTTGCAACTGCTAAATAAGCCACCATGGGCCCAAAGAAAGTTCCTAGTGCCAGCCAGCTCTTTGGTAAAGGGCTGAGAGAGGGGAGAATATGCCTTTTTCAGTAATTCTGCAATATGTACAATACTAAAGCAGCAGGAGTCGATAAAGGCTATAGCAGCAGCCAGCAATAAAGTGTAGCATTTACAGCGTAGCAAGTAAGTTAAGCGATTAATCGATAGAAAAAGGACAGCACGAAACTTGACTCCTCCATTGTTGTTGGAGGTGTATAGGGCTGCTGACTAACACCACCACCTCTGCTGCCTTCACTACCCCTATGTAAGGCTTATCTTTCAGTGGCCCTTATACACCCAACAACAAATACCACCACTCGTGACATTCTTAATGCCATATTTTATTCATTCTAGAGTATATATCATGTTTCTATGTTATATTGTTTGTCATATTAGATGATTGTTTTTTTTATTATCACACTGGCCGATTTTCACCAAGGCAGGGTGGCCCGAAAAAGAAAAACTTTCACCATCATTCACTCCATCACTGTCTTGCCAGAAGGGTGATTTACACTACAGTTTTTAAACTGCAACATTAACACCCCTCCTTCAGAGTGCAGGCACTGTACTTCCCATCTCCAGGACTCAAGTCTGGAATGCCGGTTTCCATGAACCCCTTATTATTATTATAATCAAGGGGGAAGCGCTAAACCCGGAGGATTATACAGCACCTGGGGGGGGAGGATGTGGAAGGCATTCAGCATTAATTCGGGGAACTGGAGCACAGATCCAATTCCCTAAATCAAGAGCCCCTCACCAACATCAAGGAACCTTCCTAGAGGGGAACCCCTTCATAAATGTTACTTTGCTCACACTCCAACAGCACGTCAAGTATTAAAAACCATTCGTCTCCATTCACTCCTATCAAACACGCTCACGCATGCCTGCTGGAAGTCCAAGCCCCTCGCACACAAAACCTCCTTTACCCCCTCCCTCCAACCTTTCCTAGGCCGACCCCTACCCTGCCTTCCTTCCACTACAGACTGATACACTCTTGAAGTCACTCTGTTTCGCTCCATTCTCTCTACATGTCCGAACCACCTCAACAACCCTTCCTCAGCCCTCTGGACAACAGTTTTGGTAATCCCGCACCTCCTCCTAACTTCCAAACTATGAATTCTCTGCATTATATTCACACCACACATTGCCCTCAGACATGACATTTCCACTGCCTCCAGCCTTCTCCTCGCTGCAACATTCATCACCCATGCTTCACACCCATATAAGAGCGTTGGTAAAACTAAACTTTCATGTATTCCCCTCCAAGGACAAAGTTCTTTGTCTCCACAGACTCCTAAGTGCACCACTCACCCTTTTCCCCTCATCAATTCTATGATTCACCTCATCTTTCATAGACCCATCCGCTGACACGTCCACTCCCAAATATCTGTATACATTCAGCTCCTCCGTACTCTCTCCCTCCAATCTGATATCCAATCTTTCATCACCTAATCTTTTTGTTATCCTCATAACCTTACTCTTTCCTGTATTCACTTTTAATTTTTTTCTTTTGCACACCCTACCAAATTCATCCACCAATCTCTGCAACTTCTCTTCAGAATCTCCCAAGAGCATAGTGTCATCAGCAAAGAGCAACTGTGACAAGACCCTCGCATTTACTTCTCTTACAACCCCATCTATAAATATATTAAACAACCACGGTGACATCACACATCCTTGTCTAAGGCCTACTTTTACTGGGAAATAATTTCCCTCTTTCCTACATACTCTAACTTGAGCCTCACTATCCTCGTAAAAACTCTCCACTGCTTTCAGTAACCTACCTCCTACACCATACACCTGCAACATCTGCCACATTTCCCCCCTATCCACCCTGTCATACGCCTTTTCCAAATCCATAAATGCCACAAAGACCTCTTTAGCCTTATCTAAAATACTGTTCACTTATATGTTTCACTGTAAACACCTGGTCCACACACCCCCTACCTTTCCTAAAGCCTCCTTGTTCATCTATCCTATTCTCCGTGGTTGCTTAATATATTTATAGATGGAGATGTAACAGAAGTAAATGCTAGGGTGTTGGGGAGAGAGGTGGGATTAAATTATGGGGAATCAAATACAAAATGGGAATTGACAGTTACTTTTTGCTGATGATACTGTGCTTATGGGAGATTCTAAAGAAAAGTTGCAAAGGTTAGTGGAAGAGTTTGAGTGTGTGTGTGTAAAGGCAGAAAGTTGAAAGTGAACATAGAAAAGAGTAAGGTGATGAGGGTATCAAATGATTTAGATAAAGAAAAATTGGATATCAAATTGGAGAGGAGGAGTGTGGAAGAAGTGAATGTTTTCAGATACTTGAGAGTCGACATGTCAGCAGATGGATGTATGAAGGATGAGGTTAACCATAGAATTGATGGAGGAAAAAAGGAGAGTGATGCATTGAGGTATATGTGGAGATGAAAAACATTATCTATGGAGGCAAAGAAGGGAATGTATGAAAGTATAGTGGTACCAACTCTCATATATGGGTGTGAAGCTTGGGTTGTAAATGCTGTAGCGAGGAGGCGGTTGGAGGTGGAGATGTCCTTAAGTGCCATGTGTGGTGTAAATATTATGTAGAGAATTCGGAGTGTGGAGTTAATAAAAGTATTACTCAGAAGACTGAAGAGGGGTTGTTGAGGTGGTTTGGTTATTTAGAGAATGGATGAAAGTAGAATGACATGGAGAGCATATAAATCTGTAGGGGAAGGAAGGCAGGGTAGGGGTCATCCTTGAAAAGGTTGAAGGGAGGGGGTAAAGGAGGTTTTGTGGATGAGGGGCTTGGACTTCCAGCAAGCATGCGCGAGTGTGTTAGGAGTGAATGGAGACGAATGGTATTTGGGACCTGACGAGCTGTTGGTGTGTGAGCAGGGTAATATTTAGTGAAGGGATTCAGGGAAACTGGTTATTTTTATATAGCCGGACTTGAGTACTGGAAATGGGAAGTAAAATGCCTGCACTTTAAAGGCGTGTGTTTGGGATATTGGCAGTTTGGAAGGGTATGTTGTGTATCTTTATACGTATATGCTTCTAAACTGTTGTGTTCTGGGCACCTCTGCAAAAATATTATGTATGAGTGAGGTGAAAGTGTTGAATGATGAAAGTTTTTCCTTTCTTTTTTAAGGGGCATAGGGGTCACAGTAGTACAGTGGACCCCCGGTTAACGAACTTTTTTCATTCCAGTAGTATGTTCAGGTGCCAGTACTGACCGAATTTTTTCCCATAAGGAATATTGTGAAGTAGATTAGTCCATTTCAGACCCCCAAACATACACGTACAAACGCACTTACATAAATACACTTACATAATTGGTCGCATTTGGAGGTGATCGTTAAGCGGGGGTCCACTGTACTTTGGAAATAGGAGGCAATCAGATTCAATTTTGTGAAGAGGATTTTCGTCCCTTAGATCAGTAACCTTTCACAACCATCCAAACACTTCCTTTGATGTACAAGCTTGTTGCATTTTTTTTTTTTTAGTTGTAAATATTTTTACAATTGATGCAGTAATGTACTATGAAATATCACAATTATTACATTCATGGGAGCTCTTACCCTGTAGGGGTTATACAGATGCTGAAGAGTGGGAGGCACCTCCTTCAAGGTGTGTGAAGTTTATTAATATTTTATGCGAGTAATTTTTTTGCCATTAGTTGATTTTTAGGTAAAATTTTAGACATCTCAGCATTATATTTACTGCATTTTTAACCATTAATTCTACAGAGTCATTGAGTGCAAGGGCCCAACAAATACCCGAGTATATACAGTTGCAGTTTACTTTCGTGGTCGACGTCTGGCCAAAGCATCTGGTCATTCCATACAACAGGCTGAAATGAATGCTGCTCGAGAAGCACTTATGAACTCTAAAGGTAATTGAAATTTATAAAATATATTTGTTGTGCATGTCAGAGTTTTAAAGTCAATTGTTGTACCATTTTTATTAAAAACAGTAACACCCTATCAGTTACTGAGCACTGTAATGTAACTGATGACGAATATTCTTTTTATTCACAGAATTATTCCCGCAGCTGGATCACCAACGTAGAGTAATTGAGAAAAGTGTCAAGATTCAAGGTGTAAATAAATCTGAGTCACCATATAATGAGAGAGACTACAATAAAGATAAGGAACGGGAAAGAGAAAGGAATAGCAGAGGACTTCGGAAAGATGATGAAAAACGAGGGGAGAGAGAAAGGCCTAGAGAAAGAGAAAAGTTTCTGGATGATAGAGAAGGGGAGAGAAGCAGAGGTGGAGAAAGAGGTAGGACGGCAAGAGACAAAGACATACCCAGTATAGATCGAGATAGGCAAATAAAAGGATGTGAGAAAGAACGACAATGTGGAGAAAAAGATAGAGCTGGGGATTCTAGACGAAATAAACCAGAAGATGAAGATAGGAGATACAAATCAGAGGTGGATAAAGTCTATTATAAATTTCCATTGAATGAACAGAAGTTCCGAGGACATGTGAAATATGCTTCCAGAGATGGGGTAGAGACAGACAGACATCGAGATAAGTATAGAGGGTATAATAAAAATAGATATAACGAATGTCCTCACACAGAATCGACGCAGAAAAGTGGTCGTATTCCTAGAAGTGATTGTAACAGAAGGCAATCGAGATCAGATTGGTAAGTACAGATGTAGACAGCTTATAAATTAAAAATTATACAGTAGTAAATCATTGGAAATTTGATTTTAACTAGTGATTACTAATCACCTGCATTTATATAGTGCAAAAGTTAGAAATTTTTTTAGACTACAATATTCATTCACCTTGAATAGAATAGCATAAGCTCAAACAATGAAATTTTTATGGATCACATGATGAATTTTAAAACTGGTATTGTAAATTATTATTATAATCAAGGGAGCTGTATAGTCCTTGTGGCTTAGCGCTTCTTTTTTGATTATAATAATAATCAAGGGGGAAGCGCTAAACCCGGAGGATTATACAGCGCCTGGGGAGGGGAAGTGGAAGGCATTCAGGCTTAATTCGGGGAACTGGAGCACAGATCCAATTCCCTAAATCAAGAGCCCCTCACCAACATCAAGGAACCTTCCTTGAGGGGCTGGTATTGTAAAATTTTAAGAAATGTTACACAGTTGAAGGAAAATACTCATTTACTGTATACAATTTAACATTTAGACATACCCAGCCAAATTTTAAAATAAATTCAGTAAGAGTAGTTTTACTAATTAAACTGTTGATAATTGCATATCTCAAAATGGATAAAATGTGTATTGTTTACTCCTTTGCTTGAAACAATTTATTTCTGAACGGTTGAAGTTCGATAATTTACTTTTTACAAGAATTAATTTGATATTATTATAATCAAAGGGGAAGCGCTAAACCCGGAGGATTATACAGCGCCTGCGGGGGGGAGGGGGGATGTGGCAGGCATTCAGGCTTAATTTGGGGAACTGGAACACAGATCCAATTCCCTAAATCAAGAGCCCCTCACCAACATTTAATTTGATATAAAAGGTAAATGACTGAGCACCATCAGTGTGAAGGCACATATGGTACTGCAATACACTGTAGTAATTGATTATTATTATAATCAAAAAGAAGCACTAAGCCACAAGGGCTATACAGAAATTGATTGTAATGTACTATTAATTTCATAGGGAGCACTAAACTCATAGGGGTCATACAGTACTTGAGGAATGGGAGGCAGATTTGTTTGAAGAAAAGGAATGGCAATTTTAATTCTTTTGATCAGGCCGCCTTTAGCATTTAGGCACCTACCGTGATTATAATCGTAGGGGAGCACTAAACCCATATTATAATAAAAAAAGAAGCACTAAGCCACAACTAAACCCATAGGATTATACAGCACACCTACCTTGAAAGGTTTAATTAGGGAAAGGATCTTGATTTAAGGAATTGGAGTTACCCTTCTCTTGGATCAAAACTAGTTACCTCCCATTCACTAGGTGTTGTGTGATCCCCTACAGATTTAGTTTATTCCCCATGAATATACAGTAATAACTAGATGTATTCGGATATTTGCGAGTGGACGCGTCAGCCGATGGGTTATGAAAGATGAGGTGACTCAATGAATTGACGAGGGGAAAAAGGTAGCAATGGAGGCAAAGAAGGGAATGTACTAAAGTATAGTGGTATCAAAACCCTTATATGGGTGTGAAGCTTGGGTTGTAAATGCAGCAGCAAGGAGGCAGTGGAGATGTCCTGTCTAAAGGGCAGTGTGTGGTGTAAATATGCAGAGAATTTGTAGTGTGGAAATTAGGTGTTGTGTAGTTATTAAAGGGCTCAAGAGGGAATGTTGAGGTGATATGGTCATTTAGAGAGAATGGAACAAGTAGAACTGACTTGGAGAGCGTATAAATCTGTAGGGGAAGGCGGGTAGGGGTTGTCCTCAAAAAAGGTTGGGGAGGGTAAATGTTTCGTGGGAGAGGGGCTTGGACTTCCAGCGTGTGTGTGTTAAATAGGAGTGAATGGAGACAAATGGTTTTTGAGATCTGACGAGCTGTTGGAGTGTGAGCAGAGTAATATTTTGTGAAGGGATTCAGGGAAACCGGTTAGACGGACTTGAGTCTGGGAAATGGGAAGTACAATGCTTGCACTTTAAAGGAGGGGTTTGGGATATTGGCAGTTTGGAGTGACATCTAAACTGTCGTATCTTGGTGCCTCTGCAAAGACAGTGATTATGCACGAGTGATGGTTAAGTGTTGAATGATAATGGAAGTTTTTTCTTTTCGAGTCACCTTGCTTTGGTGGGATATGGCTGACGTGTTAAAAAATATTGTGATATATATAAAACTGGGATGCTTGAATATGCGTGGATGTAGTGCGGATGACAAAAGATGATTGCTGATCTTATGAATGAAAAGAAGTTGGATGTCCTGGCCCTAAGCAAAACAAAGCTGAAGGGGGTAGGGGAGTTTCAGTGGGGAGAAATGAATGGGATTAAGTCAGGAGTATCTGAGAGAGTTAGAGCTAAGGATGGGGTAGCAATAATGTTGAAGGATCAGTTATGGAAGGAGAAAAGGGAATATAAATGTGTAAATTCAAGGATTATGTGGATTAAAATAAGGATTGGATGTAAAATGTGGGTCATAATAAGCGTGTATGCACCTGGAGAAGAGAGGAGTGTAGAGGAGAGAGAGATTTTGGGAGATGTTAAGTGAATGTATAGGAACCTTTGAACCAAGTAATTGTGGTAGGGCACCTAAATGCTAAAGTAGGAGAAACATTTAGAGAGGGTGTGGTAAGTAGTAAGTTTGGGGTGCCAGGTGTAAATGATAATGGGAGCCCTATGAACTTTGTATTAGAAAGGAGTTTAGTTATAGGTAATACATATTTTAAGAAAAAGAGGATAAGTATACAAGATATGATGCAGGGCATGACAGTAGTTTGTTGGACCATGTATTGGTAGATAAAAGACTGTTGAGTAGACTTCAGGATGTACATGTTTGTAGAGGGGCCACAGATATATCAGATCACTTTTTAGTTGTAGCTACACCGAGAGTAAAAGGTAGATGGGATACAAGGAAAACAGAAGCATCAAGTAAGAGAGGTGTGAAGGTTTATAAACTAAAAGAGGAGGCAGTTAGGGTAAGATATAAACAACTGTTGGAGGATAGATGAGCTAAAGAGAGCATAGGCAATGGGGTCGAAGATGTATGGGGTAAGTTTAAAAATGTAGTGTTAGTGTGTTCAGCAGAAGTTTGTGGTTACAGGAAAGTGGGTGCGGGAGAGGAGCGATTGGTGGAATGATGTAAAGAGAGAGTAGTAAGGGAGAAAAAGTTAACATACGAGAGGTTTTTTTACAAAGAAGTGATGCAAGGAGGGGAGAGTATATGGAGAGAAAAAGAGAGGTTAAGAGAGTGGTGAAGCAATGTAAAAAGAGAGCAAATGAGAGAGTGGGTGAGATGTTATGAACAAATTTTGTTGAAAATAAGAAAAAGTTTTGGAGTGAGATTAACAAGTTGAGAAAGCCTAGGGAACAAATGGATGTGTCAGTTAAGAATAGGAGAGTTAGAGGTATCGGAAAGATGGAGGGAATATTTTGAGGAATTGTTAAATGCTGATGAAGATAGGGAAGCTGTGATTTTGTGTACAAGGCAAGGAGGAATAACATCTTGTAGGAGTGAGAAAGAGCCAGTTGTGAGTGAGGCAGTGTGTAGAATGAAAGGGGGTAAGGCAGCTGGGATTGATGGGATTATTATTATTATAATAAAAAAGAAGCGCTAAGCCACAAGGGCTATACAGCGCTGCAGGGTAGGGAAGGAAGCGAGGGTATTGGATGGCAGAAGGGAGGAGGGATGATCAGTAGGTTACAGAAAACAGCGGGGCAGGGGATAGTACGGGGGTAGGGGGTAGCAAGAGATTGAAGTAGAAAGGGCTGAAGGTATCAGAATTTGTGAAGTAAGTCAGTTGTTGTCAAAAAGTCAATGAGAGAGTCTGGATGAAAGGTGGGTCCATCAGCGAGAAGGGAAGGTAAAGAGAGAGCAGCAAAGACGACGACAGAGGTAAATTCTGCGTGCTCGTTGATAAAGTGGGCAGTCCAACAGAATGTGGCTGACTGATAATGGAACTTGGCAATTCTCACAGAGAGGAGCAGGGCGCCTCTCCATGAGATATCCATGAGTAAGACGAGTATGGCCAATGCGAAGACGGGAGAGAGTAGTCTCCCAACCTCGACACTGGTGATAAGAAGACGGCCAGTAACCTATACTCGGTTTAATAGATTGAAGTTTGTTGCCGAGCATAGTAGACCAACGTTGTTGCCAACGGGTGTGAAGTTGGGAAGATATTGCAGCAAAATAGTCCGTAAATGGAATACCTCTACGTGAAACTGGTAGGTCATATACTGCTGACCGCGCAGCAGTGTCTGCCTGTTCATTGCCCTGTACGTCAACATGACCAGGGACCCAACAAAAAACAATATCTTTATGCTTGGTAAAGATGCGGCGTAGCCAAAGTTGGATATGGAGGACTAAGGGGTGAGGTGTATCAAATTTCTGTATAGCCTGTAAAGCACTAAGGGAGTCTGAGACAACCACAAATGATGACACAGGCATAGATGCAATACGGATAAGTGCTGTAAGGATGGCATACAATTCAGCAGTAAAAATACTAGCCGAAGATAGTAAATGCCCTTGTACGACGCTGTCCGGAAACACTGCTGCGAATCCTACGCCGTCAGAAGACTTAGAGCCATCTGTGTACACAGCAATGGCATGAGAATGAGAGTGAAAGTGGTCAAGAAAATGAGAGCGGGAAGCGACCTAGACAGTTGGGCTTTCGAGCAAGGGAGAGAGAAAGAACAGACTCGAACAGCTGGAACTTCCCAGGGGGGTAGGGAAAAGTGAGATGCTACATGTACATAGAAAGGTGGTAATTGAAGAGAAGACAAGAGCGAATGAAGGTGAAGTGAGAAGGGACGAGTAAAACAGGGGCGGCGAACAAATAAAGAATGTCTACTAATATCAGTGACCATTCTATAAATGGAAGGATTGCGGAGATCATGAGAGCGTACATAGTAGCGAAGGCAATGGGCATCACGGCGATCGGATAAGGATGGAATGTTCGCTTCTGCATAGAGGCTCTCGACAGGGGAAGAGCGAAAAGCACCAAGGCATAAACGTAATCCTTGGTGATGAATGGGGTTAAGGCTAGAGAGATTAGCAGGAGATGCCGCTGAATAGATCTGGTCACCATAATCAAGTTTCAATAAGATAAAGGTGGAATGTAGGCGAAGGAGGGTTCGACGATCAGCTCCCCATGAAAGATGAGCAAGGGTTTTAAGGAGGTTCAGCCGCTGTGGCAAGTTGCCTTCAGAGAGGTAATGTGAGGTTTCCAGGATAACCTACGATCAAAGAGGAGGCCCAGAAACTTGACTGTATCACGTTCAGGGATACGGGAGCCATAGAGGTACAAAGGATGATCGGAGATGACAGAGCGTCTAGTGAAAGTAATTTGGTGGGTTTTAGTGCTGGAAAATTTAAACCCACGTGTGGTGGCCCAATTGGAAACACGGTCGACTGCATGCTGGAGAGAAACTGTAATAAGGTGACAGTCAGCGCCTGCACAGGCAATAGCGAAGTCATCAACATAGAGTGATGACCAAATATTTGATGGAAGACTACCTGGAGAGTTTACCTGGAGAGAGTTCCGGGGGTCAACGCCCCTGCGGCCCGGTCTGTAACCAGGCCTCCTAAGAGGCCTCCTAGAGGCCAAATCATTAATACCAAGGAGAAAAAGTGTT